CACTCCAGGCCCATCCCTCCATGCCAGGCCCAGATCTCCACTCCCGGCCCAGATCTGCACTCCAGACCCAGATCTCCACTCCAGACCCAGATCTCCACCCCAGGCCAATATCTCCACCCCAGGCCCATATCTCCACCCCAGGCCCATGTCTCCACTCCAGGCCCATCCCTCCATGCCAGGCCCATGTCTCCATTCCAGACCCAAATCTCCACTCCGGACCCAAATCTCCACTCCAGACCCAGATCTCCACCCCAGGCCAATATCTCCACTCCAGGCCAAAATTTCCACTCCAGACCCAGATCTCCACCCCAGGCCCGGATTTCCACTCCAGGTCCATATCTCTACCCCAGGCCCATATCACCACTCCGGGCCCGTATCTCCACTTCAGGCCCAGATCTCCACTCCAGGCCCAGATCTCCCCTCCAGGCCCATATCTCCACTCCAGACCCATATCTCCACTCTAAACCCATATCTCCCCTCCAGGCTCATATCTGCACTCCAGGCCCATATCTCCACTCCAAACCCATATCTCCCTTCCAGCCCCATATCTCTACCCCAGACCCATATCTCCACTGCAGGATCATATCTGCACTCCAGACCCATATCTCCACTCCAGACCTAGATCGCTACCCCAGGCCCAGATCTTCACTCCAGGTCGATATCTCCACTCCGGGCCCAGATCTCCACTCCAGAATGAGATCTTCACCCCAGACCCATATCTCCACTCCAGGCCCAGATCTCCAATCCAGACTTGTATCTCCACTGCAGGCCCATATCTCTACTCCAGACCCAGATCTCCACCCCAGGCCCATATCTCCACTCCAGGCCTATATCTCCACCGCAGACCCATATCTCCACTCCAGGCCCATATCTCCACTCCAGGCCCAAATCTCCACTCCAGGCCCAGATATCCACTCCAGGATCATATCTCCACTCTAGGATCATATCTCCACTCCAAGCCCATATCTCCACTCTAGGCCCATATCTCCACTCCAGGCCCAGATCTCCACTCCAGGCCCATACCTCCACTCCAGGATCATATCTCCACTCCAGGCCATAACTCCACTCCAGGATCATATCTCCACTCCAGGATCATATCTCCCCTCCAGGCCCATACCTCCACTCCAGGCCCAGATCTCCACTCCAGGCCCAGGTCTCTACTCCAGGCCCATATCTCCACTCGAAGCCCATATCTCCATTCCAGGCCCATATCTCCACTCCAGGATCATATCTCCACCCCAGGCCCATATCTCCACTCCAAGATCGTATCCCCACTCCAGGATCATATCTCCACTCCAGGATCATATCTCCACTCCAGGATCATATCTCCACTCCAGGCCATAACTCCACTCCAGGATCATATCTCTACTCCAGGATCATAACTCCCCTCCAGGCCCATACCTCCACTCCAGGCCCAGATCTCCACCCAGGCCCAGGTCTCTACTCCGGGCCCATATCTCCACTCGAAGCCCATATCTCCATTCCAGGCCCATATCTCCACTCCAGGATCATATCTCCACCCCAGGCCCATATCTCCACTCCAAGATCGTATCTCCACTCCAGGATCATATCTCCACTCCAGGATCATATCTCCACTCCAGGATCATATCTTCACTCCAGGCCCATATCTCCACCGCAGACCCATATCGCCACTCCAGGCCCATATCTCCACTCCAGGCCCAAATCTCCACTCCAGGCCCAGATATCCACTCCAGGATCATATCTCCACTCTAGGATCATATCTCCACTCCAAGCCCATATCTCCACTCTAGGCCCATATCTCCACTCCAGGCCCATACCTCCACTCCAGGATCATATCTCCACTCCAGGCCATAACTCCACTCCAGGATCATATCTCCACTCCAGAATCATATCTCCACTCCAGGCCCATACCTCCACTCCAGGCCCAGATCTCCACCCAGGCCCAGGTCTCTACTCCAGGCCCATATCTCCACTCGAAGCCCATATCTCCATTCCAGGCCCATATCTCCACTCCAGGATCATATCTCCACCCCAGGCCCATATCTCCACTCCAAGATCATATCTCCACTCCAGGATCATATCTCCACTCCAGGATCATATCTCCACTCCAGGATCATATCTCCACTCCAAGCCCACATCTTCACTCCAGGCCCATATCTCCACTCCAGGCCCAGATCTCCACTCCAGGCCCATACCTCCACTCCAGGCCCAGATCTCCACTCCAGGCCCATATCTCCACTCCAGGCCCTTATCTCCACCCCAGGATCATATCTCCACTCCAGGCCCATACCTCCACTCCAGCCCCAGATCTCCACCCCAGGCCCAGATCTCCACTCCAGGCCCATAAATCCACTCCAGGCCCAGATCTCCACTCCAGGATCATATCTCCACCCCAGGCCCATATTTCCACTCCAGGCCCAGATCTCCACCCCAGAGCTTCCTCTGTCGATTCCCTTCCAGGACTCACCAACACACGCCACACTGACAACCATGAGCGACATGGTGCTGCCGGTGCAGACAGGCGGCCGCGCCCCAGCTCAGCTCAGCAGCGCACAGGATGTTATCTGGCGCCCTGCCCATGCAGTTGACGTGCTGACCACATCATGGGAGGGTGACGTACGCAGGCTCTTCCTACCTTGCATGAGGTGCAGCGGGTGCTCACTCAAGAGTGGAAAATGGCTTCCTGGAAATGGTTCTCACTAGAACTGACACCTTGTGTCCTTCACTATGATCAGCTCAAAACACGTCTCAGATCCAACCTCCCGGACACGAGGTGACTAAAATCTGTGCTGACGTGAAAGACTTTTCACATATTTTTGTTGTTTTTATCTGTGTTTCAAACTCTTCTTCGTGTGTAATATGCAAAATATCTAATAGGTATTATGAACGTTGTCAGAGCAATTGTGACGAATAAACCATAAGGATGTTTCATGCTTGTATTTCTAGTATGACAGCAGAACCAGTTTAAATGATTTAAATACCCAGGGAAGGATTATGCCATTATTTACAATCTTAGAACTGTTCTTTATCAGCAAAACCCACAACATGTCCATTCTGGATTTTTGTCGTTTTATCTGCAATTTGTCTCATGACCCAAGAGTCCAGAGCCCCGAACTTATGGTTCACTCTCTCTCTGTCTCTCTGCCTCCTTCATTTAAATTGTATGGAAATATCCAGTAACATAATGCTATAGAAAATCAAGTGTCCCCCAGCACTTTGGGAAGCCGAGGTTTGCAGATCAACGGAGGTTGGGAGTTCGAGACCTCCCTGGCCAACTTAGTGAAGCCTTGTCTCTGCTAAAGATACAAAAATTAGCCGTGCCTCGTCCCGAGCTAATGTCAGCTACTCAAGAGGCTGAGGCAGGAGAATCGCTTGAACCTGGGAGGCGGAAGTTGCAGTGAGCTGAGATCGTGCCACTGCAGTCCAGCCTGGGCGACAGAGCGAGACTCCGCCTCAAGAAATATTTTAAAAATCCTAGCAAATAGCCTATAATAAAAAAGTAGAGGACTCCAGCTACCAAATTGTAAGGGTTTGTATAAGCCTACGGAATGTGCAGCATCCTCAAGAGAGTGAACGCAGAGAGCCCCTTATTGGAAAACAGTCTCTAAAATACATCCGTGTACACACAGCCCCGTTAGAGTTGACAAAGGCTGTCGTGTGGTTGAAGGAGGAATAGAATGTCTTCTCAATAGATAACACGGGCTGAAAGGTTACGCATAGAAAAAAATAAATCTAAACGTGGTCTCACACTATAAAACACTTCTTGTTTTTTATCTTGTTATTGTAAATTTTTTATGATTCTTATTTAAAATTGAGAAATAAAAGTTAGATACAGTCGTCCTTCACTATTCGTGGGTGATTGGTTTCAGGATCTCCGCCGAGATACCACAATCTGCAGATGCTCAAGCCTCTTACATAAAATGGTACAGCGTTTGCATATAACCCATGCTCATCCTCCTATATACATGAAATCATCTCTAGATTACTTATAATTCCTGACACAGCCTACACACCATTCCATTTGTGTCCATTCAACATAGTTTTGCTCTTCGAAACTTTGCAGATTTATTCTCTGAATATATTTGATTTATAGTTGGTTCAATAAACACCTGTAAACCCCACAGATCTGGAGGAGCGACTGTGTATTTATAGTATGAAGATGATGTGTGGACCTGTGTCCCCGTGGAGATGAGACTAACAAGGCCTATGACTCTACAGATGTTTCATCCTGGAATGGCTCTGCCAGCTTTCCAGGTCTGCAGAGAGTAAGAATATCACTTGTTCCTCTGATTCATGATCATTGGAACCTCATATATGCTGCCTCGTTGGATGGAAATTGGAGTCCCAGAGACAAATCAGGCTCCACCTGCTTCCAGAAGCTCAGATTCCAGGGATGAGAACCCAGTGGAGAACATGTGGGGCTATATGGACATAGTAATGATAACACCGGAAACTTTAGGCAAAAAAAGAGTCACCTAAAGAATGAGGGCAGACACATTTATTTGAAGAGGAGAGAGCTACATAGGAATCACAACAAATTTTTATAAGGTTTACTGATGACAGAAGACTGAAAAATCGTCTGAGGGGAAGTGGAACAGCATGAGGGAAGGTGGAACAGCATGAGTCTAAGTGCAGTGTTAAGAGGGAGCCTCTTGTATGTTGGGAATTGTGAGTTCCTCAGTGTGACTGCAGCCTCAAGTAGGACTAGGAAGTAAGCCAGTTAGGTTGGAGAAGTGGGCAGGGGTCAAGTGAAGGGGAGAATTGTAGGCTAAGCAAAGGAGTGCGTTTTCTCTCCAGCAGGCAGTGGGAACCGCAGACGTTGGTAAGCAAGACAGAGCCAGCAGATTTGTGGTGTGAGGAAGAGCAATGCTCTAAGATGCAGAGTAGAGATTTCAGATTCCAGCTGCTGGTACATTGGAGCTGTGAAGCTGGTTTTGAGAAAGGGCTGTGGTCTCCCTAGAAGACCCCCTCCAGGCCTGTCTGTGGTGCTCCTGGGCTGGAGACAACGATCTGGGCTCAGCTCTATGTACACGCTGGTATCTGTTGGGGGTCTCTTGGGCCTCTGAGAAGGGCGAGTGATTTTTCCCCGTGTGAAAACGCAGTGATCCAACTGTGCGTATGTCACCTCCTGAGGGTCTGGTTCATCAGAGTCCTGGAGAGAGGGAAATGTTGAGTGAGGGAGGGGCTCACATTCTTCAGGACTAGTAGGGAATAAGACTATAACCATGAGGCTGTCCTTTGGAGGACTATCTCCCTGTTCATTGTTCTGTCCCCACAGGCTCTTGGTCCATTACAGCAGCATCTGTAGGAGACGGAAGTCATCAAAACAGATGGGAGGGCACGTCTGGGTCCTCATTTCATGTGCAGAGCCCAACACACAGGGGGAGACTGTAGGTGCCTGAGGTCCCTCAGCTGCCAACAGCCAGACTCAGACATTCTGTCTCTCTGAGTGCAAGGCCCATCCCATGAAGAGCTGTCAGTTCCCATCCCAGTGATTCTGCCTCCCACTTTCTGCCTGTCATGGAACCTTCTCCTGGATATCAGTGGCTGCAGGGACATGAGGATACAGTTGAGAATCAGGCAATGGTCTGTGAGCTGAAGGCAGGGACAGGGTGTCTGGTGCTCTCTCTAGAAATCCCTGCCTCTGTGGCTTCTGCCTTGGGCCAGAGACCATCCTGCCGGTGAGAAACACACACCTACGTGCTCCCATCCCTCCTCATCCTTCCTCCCCACACGGCCCTGAGGTCTGTGGCCTCTGCTTCGTGAGACTTACTCTTTTTGTCGGAGCACCAGCGACGAAGGAGAAAGAAGAGGAGGATGGTGAAGATGATGGTGGCCACCGAGTACCTAATCACAATAGGCAGGTGTCTGGTGATACCTGGAGGAAGATGGAAATCCAATGAGAAGCTCACCATAGCAGTTCCTCTTTGAGGATTGTCTCTCATTTCTTGGTTGCCAGGCAACCCCATAAAACATCTCTTTAGGACAAGCACCCACGTGGTGGGAGACCCAGCTTTCTCCTGCTTTCTCAGTTATAGTTTTCATAATAACCATGGAATGTGCCAATGAGACACCTGCTATCGTATGGATATTTGACCCTCCGAAGCTTCACTTTGAAATTTAACCCTGAGTGTGGGAGGTTGGGCCAATCGGGAGGTGTTTGGATGATGGGGGTGGATCCATCATGAATAGATTAATGCTGCCCCACACGACAGGGTTAGCACGTTCTCCCTCTATTAGTACTCTGGAGAGTTGGTTCTTAAAAAGAGCTTGGAAGCTCCATCACACCCCGTTTCTCCCTGTCTTGCTGTGTGATCTCGGTGGTCTCTGCACATGTAGGCCCCCGTCTCTTCTACCAGAGTAGGAGTAGCCTGAGGCCACAGCCAGAAATAGATGCTGGTGTCCTGCCTCTTGTACACCTTGCAGAACCGTGAGTCAACCAATTCTCTTTTCTGTAGAAGTTACCCAGGCTCAAGTGTTCTTTCACAGCCTCAAAAAGGGACTAAGACGGCAACATCCTGAGACCAGGAGGAACGTCCCAGAACAGCCTGGGCTGTCTTCCTGTTCTTCCCAGAGGAGGACGTCATGCAGTGCTTTAGCTCAGTGCTTCCTGTGGCTCCAGGGTACAAAACCCAGGCAGGGCTGCTTTCTGGGTTCCCCCAGCTGCAGTGCAAATGGGGTGACTCCATATGTCCTGAGCAGCTTTTCTGAGCCTTGGGGGACTGGCTCACACTGAAATGCAGGCTTCTGTTGTCACTTGCTGGTTATCTGTTAGTAATGAACCTGCCTATGTCATGTATTCTCTGTGTGTTCTGTCTCTCTGGAGTGATGGTGAGTGACAGGAACTGGCAGAGCCCCAGGTGCAGTACAGGAGGTGTTTAGAGTCTTCTCTGGGAAGACTGGACTGGGATTGATACACAGTGAATGTGCTTTACAGTTTCTACGGCCACAACCCTCTTGACTCAAACACATTACATTCAGCAAGAAAAGGAATAACGTAAAATCAAGATCAAAACAGTGAAGTAGAACTGTCATATATCAAACAGCCAGGAAATAATGATGAAGGTCGTGAAGAACGTGCTCCTTTTTGTGATCTCGGGAGTCCTATATTAGGCTGCTGTTCTACCTGAGAGTCCGGAGGAAGGACAACCCCCTCCATCATCTATTGCTTCGGTACAACCTGTCGTTCTGTGAATTCCTACAAAAGGTGACCAGGAGATGGTGCTGGTGCTGGTCTCCGTGTCCAAAATCTGAACTCCAAAGAGTATTAGTTTTTACCTTCCCACGGTCTGTCTGTGTCTCTTAATGTGATAGGAAGTAGGCGTGAGGTGGGGGATTTGGGTGAGGGGGCAAGTTTTATGCCATGAACAGAGAACTTTCTCTATTCCAGGGCCTGTGCTGGTGGGTTCGGGGGCCTTTCATATTTTCCATATGATCTCAGGCTCACAGAAAGCAAACAGAGAAGACGTTTTTGGCTGATTTTCTAATGGATAAGATAAAGGATCAAAGAAGTCATTATAGAGAAACAGAAAAATGATAATTGGGATTGAAGTGCTTTTGTCATTCGTGTATGTTATATTAGATTTATGAGTCTTGTATTTTTATTTTTTGTGATGGAGTCTCACCCTGTCACCCAGGGTGTAGTCCAATGACGTGATCTCGGCTCACTGAAACCTCTGCCTCCCGGGTGGAAGCCATTCTCCTCCTTCAGCCTCCCGAATAGCTGGTATTACAGGCAGGTGCCACCACACCCAGCTAGTTTTTGTTTATTTAGTAGAGTTGGGTTTGAGCATGTTGTCCGGGCTGGTCTTGAACTCCTGACCTCAATGAATCCATCCGCCTCAGCCTCCCAAAATGTTGGGTTACTGGTGTGAGCCACCGTTCACAAACTCCTGTGTTACATTATAATAGGTCTCTTCCTTTGCACCACCCCTCATGTATCAATCAGTCCTCTGCCAGGTATTGATTTACATGTAGGAAAAATAAATCTCAGAAAGAAATTAAACAATTAGGAAAAATCAAACCAGGCAAGCCCTCCCTGCGAAGTATTCTACCTCACATAGACATCTTGTATCCATCCACTTCATTCATTTAGTGTCTAAATACACAACACATTTCACCAGTGGGGCGGGAATTGCCTTTTCCACAGTCTCCTAGATTCCAGTTATGCACCTGGGCCTCCCTTATGTTCATGTCAGTCACTATTAATCATGTAGGGATTCCTAGTTAGCCCGAGGTGAATCCAAGTGCTGTGAGTATAAAACACACACTCCTTGTCCTCCTTAGTTTCCTGTGTGCCCAGTGTGCTCTTCTCTCTCTCCAGTGGTCTTGTAATTCTCCCATCTCATTCCCAGCGTTTCAGGCAGAGCCTCTTCCTTCCACATAAGATTGTTTTCACCTTTGTTCCTTCACAGCTGACTGCTGTGTGTGGAAAATCCTTCCGCCAGTCTTCCAGGGGTTGATCAATATTTTTCATAAAGATCACAAGTATTATTTGATCAGTGAGAACTTCTCTGTGACCTGAAATCATACACTCAGTATTATCTGTTATTTATTTTAAATTCTGGTTGGTTGCCCTGGTTCACGCCTATAATCCCAGTACTTTGGGAGGCTGAGGAGGTCAGATGACTTTAGATTGGGAGTTGGAGATAGACTGGGCCGCATGGTGAAACATCGTCTCTACCAACAATCTACAAAAAGAATTAGCCAGGTGTGGCGGCGGGTGCCTGTATCCAAGCTACTTGAGAGGCTGAGGCAGAAGAATCACTTGAACCCAGGAGGTGGAGGTTGCAGTGAGCCAAGATCATGACACTGCACTCCGGCCTAGGGGATAGAGCGAGACTCTGACTTAATAAAAACATAATTAATAAATACATAAATAAATAGATTTCATGCACCAATGTTTCCCAATGGATCAGCCATTTATAGGTCCACTTGTGCATTCATTCTCTTTTTCCTCCCGTTTACCGATCTGAAACGTCAGTGTCCCAAGAGCACAGGCCAAATGCATCCTGTTTACTATTTGTGGAAGGCAGGAGAATCCACCCCACCCCAAAAATGTCCCTGTCCTAGCCTACACACCTTGTGAATAAGTGATTTTACATGGAGAGGAGGAATGAAGATTGCAGATGGAATTATGGTTGTTAATCAGCTGAACTGAAAAGGAGGGTATCCTGGATGATATTAGGGAGATGATGAAGATAATCTTGGTGAACCCAATAAAATCCCAAAGTCCTTAAGAGATGAGGAAGAAAGCAGAGGAACATTCAGAGAAAGAGGCGTGGATAAGGAAGAAGGGTCTGAGTGATGCCATGTGAGATGTGACCAGTCTTTGTGGGTTTTGAGGAAGGAGGAAGGGGACCAGGAGCCAAGGAACGTGGGAGCTTCTAGAAACTGGGACATGTGGAAAGCAGATTCTTGCCTGGAACCTTCAGAGGGAAGGCAGCCTTGCTGTCACCTTGATTTTAGCCCAGTGAGGTGTATTTCATCCTTTGAGCTACAGCACTGTAAGATAATTAAAAAGCCGTTTTGTTTTCATCCACCAATTTTGTGGAAATTTGTTATGGCAACAATAGGAAAGGATTCTAACTGCCCAGCCTGAGCATGGGGCCATGGCTGAATGAGTCAGTGATTCGGAGTGTGCGTGCAAGGCTCTTTACTGCAAGGCTCTGGCTCTGCTGAGTCAGCCAGGGTTGCCTGATGACCCACAGGAGTTCATTCTTTGGCAAGTGGAACTTCTCTAAAACACCTCACCCTCATTAGATGTTCCCTTCCCTTCCCTCTTTCAAGCCCCCAGGAATTTATCCTCCAGTTAGGAATGCAGGGAGAACAAACACTGCATTTTTCCTGAGAAGGATGTCAGATTTGCAATCGCTCTTCCAGCTTGTAGGAGGTCTCAGCTGCAGAAAATTGGAGATTAAGAGACTTCATGGAGCCCTGTGCTGGGCCACGATCCCTTTTGCTGTTGGAGTGTCTGGACTTCAGAGAGATGGTGGAAGACAGGCCCACAGTCAGAGCTGGGAGGTGCTGAGCCAAGGCTTGAATCCAAGGCTTCCACCTCCCCAGGTTTCCAAAAGCAGAGATAAGAGGGATTCTTTACTCACCAGTTTTGGAGTTTGGTTCAGTGGGTGAAGGCCAACTACCTGAAGGGTTTCCTAGAATAGAGACAGGACAGAGGTGAGGAAATGAGGGTGCCTGTCCTCTACTCAAGGGAAATCTTTGAGGTTGGTTCATGGCCAACACTCTGTTATCCAACACTAGGCTCTGGGAGTCCTGGGATCCTCTCCTCTATAATTTTTGTATGTGTTACCCATTGTCTCGAGACTTTAAGATATAGAGGGAAAACAGGAGCATCACATTACCTGACTTAAAAATACGTTACAGAGCTGTAGTAAACAAAACAGCATGATGTTGGCATAAAGAAAAGTGCATAGAACAACGGAGTAAAATGAAGAACACAGATATAATCTATGCGTCTACATTCAATGGCTTTTTTGCTTTTTTGAGATGGAATCTTGCTCTGTCATCCAGGCTGGAGTGTAGAGGTGCAATCTCGGCTCACAGCAACCTCCGTCTCCTGAATTCAAGCAATTCTCTTGCTTCAGACTCTCGAGTAGTGGTATGACAGGCGCTGACCACCATGCTCAGCTAATTTTTGTACTTTTAGTGGAGACAGGGTTTTACTATGTTGGCCCGGTGGGCCTTGAACTCCTGGTCTCAGGTGATCCACCCACCTTGGCCTCTGAAAGTGCTGGGATTGCAGGTGTGAGCCACCATGCCCAGCCAATCCAATGCATTTTGACAAAAGTGTCAAGAACCTACGATCAGGAAAGGACAGTCTTTTCAATAAACGATGCGGGGAAAACGGGTTATCTCCATGCAGGGAATGAAACTGCACCTCTACCTCTCACCATTCACAAAAGTCAAATCCAAATGGATTAAATACATGAGTCTAAATCCTAAACCTATGAAACACATAGAAGAAAATATTGGGGAAATGCTTCAGGACATTTGTCTGAGAAAAGGCATTTTGTTTAAAACCTCAGAAACACAAGTAATCAAAGCAAAAAATGGACCATAGGGATTACATCAAACTAAGCAGCTTCTGCACTGCAAAATAAGCAACCAACAAAGTGAAGAGACAACCCACAGAATGGGAGCAAATATTTGCAGACTATGCATCTGAGATGGGATTTATAACTGGAAGCTCACATAACTCAATAAAACAAATAATTTAATTAAAAATGAGCAAAAGACTTGAACACACATTTCTCCACAAACAAAACATATAAATGGCCATCATTGAACTTGAACACACATTTCTCCACAAACAAAAATATAAATAGCCATCATGTGTATGAAAGTGTTCAGTATCACTCATCATCAGAGAAATACAAATGAAAAATCACAATGAATTTTCATCTCACCCCATTAAAATGGCTTTTATCCATATGACAAGCAAAACAAATGCTGAGGGAACCTCTGATCTCCCCAAACTGAGCCCAGTCTCCCTCCTCTGGGTCTGTCCTGACCAGTTTCTCCATCTGCCTGGGTGCCTGGAGCCCTGACCGAGGACCACCACGCAGGCCATGCAGGAGAGTTTGGAGGTGCCTTCTCTGCCATCCTGCCTCCTGATCCCACCCTCACACCGAGGCTTGGTCTTCTCTCTGAACCTGTCCATGCTTCTCTCCATCATCAGCAGGAAGTTCCTCAGCTATGGCTCTGGGATCATAAGACATGGGACAGGCATGGGGTTTCCTCACCTGTGACAGAAACGGGCAGTGGGTCACTCGGGTGTGACCACTTGTAGGGTGTGGTATGGAAAGAACCGAAGCATCTGTAGGTTCCTCCGTGGGTGGCAGGGCCCAGAGGGAAGTCGCCCTGGAATGTTCCGTTGACGCTTCGCACTGCAGAGAGACTAAGTTCACGGGCCTCCCCCTCCCTGGATAGATGGTACATGTCAAAGGAGCGCCGGGAGCTGCAGGACAAGGTCACGTTCTCTCCTGCCTGAACCGTGGGGCCTGGCTGGGCTGAGAGAGAAGGTTTCTCATATAGACCTGGAAGGAGAAGAGGCAGTTTCTTCAGGGAGGTTCTTCCTTGTCACAGCTCCCCTCACATCTGAGCTGAGAACTCACTCCCCTGCTCTATGCTAATGCTCTCTCTCACCCTCCACCCCATCTCTCTTCATGTCTGTTTCCTCCTTCCACCTTCTCTGTCTCTCTAGGTCTCTGACCTCACTTCCCCAGCCCGTGGTGTGTTTTCCCTTTTTGTATTGTTTTCTTCTCTCTGATCCTCCTTGGATTGTTGACTTGATCTTCCTTTTTCTTTAATTCTGAGTTTCTCACTTTCTGTTTTGTTCATAACCTTCTGCACATTTCTATCTATTATCTATCGATCTATCTATCTGTCTATCTATCTATCTATCTATCTATCTGCTACCTGTCAATCTATCAATTATCTATCTGTAATCTATATCTATGTATCATTTATCTCTCTATCAATTGTCTGTCTCTCTATCCACCATCTATTATCTGTATCTATGTATCATCTGTCTATTCCCTCTCTATCTGTCTGCCTCTCTGTCTCTATGTATCATCTACGTATCTATGTACCTATCTATGTGTCTATCTATCTCTCTATCTATCTATCGATCTATCTATCTGTCTATCTATCATCATCATCATCTCCATGAATCATCTATCTATCAATCGCCATCTATGTATCTATAACCCATCCATTATCTATGATCTACCTATTTATCTTCTATCTATATCTATCTATACATCTAGCATCTGTCTCTCTCCATCTCCTTGTCTTTCTCTGCCTCTCAGTCTCTCTAGTTCTATTTGGAATCTCTGCAATCCATCCCCACATCTTTATCTATCTCTATCTCTGTGCCCACCCGCCCTCAGGGTTCTGATTTTGGAGCTTTTCTCTCCTCCCTTCCATCATTCTCTCCACTCCTCTGCCCTCTTTTCTGTCTCTTTATGTGTCTGTGAGTCTCTCATTCTCCTTCCTCTGGCTCATTCTCTGTGTGTTTATGTCTTTGCTTTTTGATGTTCCTGATTTCTTTTTGATGTCCCTGTGTCTCTCAGGAATCCTATCATATGTGGGGTTATGTGGAATATGAGCCTCAGAATCCAGCTTGGGGACCCCAAGTACACACAGCATACAGGGGTTGGTGTTCTGGGGCCACGATATCATGGGACGATGACTGTCCAGTGCACGGAAGGCAGAGGTGTCAGAACAAACACGGCATCTGTAGGTGCCACAAGGTCTGAGGCCACAGGGGCTGACTCAGGACAGAAATATGGGTGTCCTTGGGTTCTCCTGGTAGAAACGCTTTGTGGAGGTAAAACAGAAATGAAGCTTCTAACCTGTGCCAGGTATCTGAGCAAAGTCAGCACGGAAGGACGACTCTCTCTGGGACATGTCTGTCTGTCTGAGTGTCCCCTTTAACTCTTTCTCTCTTTTCTACCTCCCTGTATGGCCCCTGTGTCTGTCCTCTGTTATGACACCTGGTCTGTACTTGTGTCTCCTGTTTCTCTGTCTCTGTTGGTACAGACCTCGCCAAGTCAGTCTCTCTCCATAAGAATCCCACACTCATCTTCCTCATGACCACCCGGGGCTTCCAAGTCCTGGATCATTCACTCTGTGTCCCAGTGACAATGAGAAGAATATCCGGACACTCTCACCTGTGATCACGATGTCCAGGGGGTCACTGGGAGCTGACAACACATAGTGGGAGTGAGTGACAGAACCATAGCATCTGTAGGTCCCTGCAAGGTCAGACATCTTGGAATTGATGGAATAGTTGGCCTGGGAACCCCCACCATGGCGCTCTCCAACAAGGTGCAAGGGCTTCTCAAAGGTCACCTCACTGTGCAGAAAGAAGTGCTCAAACACGGTATCTGACGAACATTGTAGGGTGACCGTCTCTCCTGATTTCACCAGGGGACCTGGGAGGGCCAGGAGGGAAGGTTTTCTGTGGACTCCTAGAAAGAGAGGTTGTGAGTTTAGAAGGCGGCTCCCTTTGTCATCATATCCATGGCACCTGGAACGAGTGAGGGTTCCCCTCCCTGCTGTCTGTCTCTCTCCTCCCTCTCTGTGTCCCTCTGTCTTTTATCCCCTGGTGCAGGTCCCTCCATCTGTGTCCCTCCCTATTCTCTGTCCGTCTGTCTCTAGTAGCCTTGGACGCCCTTCCCACTGGGCTCAGCCTCATCTCTTAGGCTGCTGTATCTGTTTCCCACTCATCTCTTTCCTGCTGTCTATGTGGGGGTGGAAGAGGAACCACGGCAGGCTGCATATCCAGGCTGTTAGCAGCCTGGTTCAATCTCTTTAGGACAAACTGGAGTCCCTGGCAGGAGGTATGAACTGATCAGTAAGGCAGGCACCAGTGTCCACACTCCCTGTTCCTGGTGGGGATTGGGAGCCTCTCCTGCCATGCCTGTGCCTTCTCCATGGCCTCAGCTTCCACAGGGTGGCTCCTGGTGCTGGTTCGAGGAGCATCGACCCCTCCCTATGTGGATGGAGCCTGGTGGTGGCATCAGCATCCCGCCCTTCCTGATCTCGGGATTGCCAACCTTCTTCTTGTTTGGTTTCTGTAACTAATTGATTAATTAATTGATTTTTGAGACAGAGTGTCACTTTTTCACCCAGGCTGGAGTGTAGTGGTGTGGTCTTGGCTCACTGCAACTTCCTCCCGGATTCAAGAGATTGAATCCAGTCGTTGGTTTACTCGCGCCCACCACCATGCCCGGCTATCATTGTTTGGTTTCCTATCTTGTCCTTGACCATATTCCTGTGTTGGTTTTCTGTTGCTGCGGCAGAAAATTATCACAAACATGGCGGCAGGAGAGAACACACTGACCCCTTCCACTTCTGGAGACAGAAATTGGATCCAGTTCTCCCTATGCTAAGATCAAGGCGTCTACAGAACTGTGTTCCCTCTGGAGACTCAGCAGAGCAATTCTCTTGACTTCTCCAGCCCGTAGAGGCCACCTGCCATTGTGGCTCGTGGCCTTCCTCCACCTTCAAAGCCCACAGTGGCTGATGGAGTCTCCCATGATGCTGCTCTAATCCCCACTCTCCTCTTCCTCCTCCTCTCATGAGGACTCTTGTGATTACAGTGAGCCCAGCGGGACAGTCCAGGCCGTCTCCCCATCTCAAGGTCAACTCACAACAACCTGAGCTCCATCTTCCCCTTCAGTCCCCTGCCCTACAGCATAAAGAGTCACAGGCTCCAGAGATTAGAATGTAGCCATATTGGGGACAGTTATTCTTCCCTTCACAGCACCCATTTCCCTGTATTCAATCCCCCTTTACCCCAGAGACAGTGAGGTCCTGGGTGATGGGACCCTGGTGGACACCCCCAGCAGAAGCTCTGGGATTCAGGAGGTGGGACAAGGAGAAGCCCTGACAGGAGCCCTCTGACCTGTGACCATGATCGCCAGGGGGTCACTGAGTGCCGACCACTCAGTTGGGGAGTGCGGGTATGATCCCCGACATCTGTAGGTCCCTGCGTGTGCCGGGGTCACAGGGCCCATGAGGAAGCTCTCCTGGAATATTCTGCTGTGAAAGATGGGAACGTGGCTTCTGTCGTCTTTGTACAGAGTGAAGTTGGTAAAGTTGTTAAGTCCATCACGATAGTAACACCGAAGAGTCACGTGTCCTCCCTGAGGCACCACAGCACTAGGCCGGGCAAACAAGAAGGTCTTGTCCTGACCACCTGGGGGAAAAGGAGGGGCCGCCTTAGAGAGGAGGATGTGGAGTCACCCCTCGCTCCGTGTGCTCAGAAGATTCTTCCCCTTTCCATGTTTCTAAGGCTGCTAGCGTACCTGGGTGTCCAGGGCTACAGGAAGAACCCATCCCACATAGACATGGCATCTCCCTACAACAAAGGTGTCAGCTGAGAACTTTGAACAAGTTCTTAATAAGGGACTCTTACTAGATTTTAACACTTCAAGATGACTCACATAAAACAACACAAAGTGGACACAGCATGGAGGGCATGTCCTTTGTGAATGGAATATCAGCCAGTGCATGAACTGAGTCCCCATCAGAGATTTGGAATGTCAGGGTCATGGCTGTGGTTTCCCCACCTCTTCTGGTAGAATGACAGCAGCCACACTGCAGCCCTGACCGTCATGCAAACACTGGAGGGTGTGAGTTACACCTTTGTGCTCAGAGGACCTGCTGTTCCTAGCACTGCTTCCCTCCCTTCCTCAGTTGCTGACACCACTTCCTCCCTGCACACCTCAGCTTGGAGCACCCCAAGCTCACCCCAGTCTTCACAGAGCTTGTCTCAGCCAAGGGTAAGAAAGGCCAGAGAGGACGAGGTCAGAACTGTGAGCCGAGCACCCCAGGGTCCCCCCTTCTTAGTTTATGAGAGACTGTCTGATAGGACTTCCCTCCTGTTTCAGGAAAATCCTCTTAGGTGGGGAGATGACACCCTAAGGTTTGGGGAAGGGCTCACCCGTGTGTGGACAGGCCATCTGGACCAAGAAGAACCCTGGAAAGAAAGATCATGATGGATGATCCATCTGCAGGCAAACCAGGGCCTCCCCTGCTGCCCCCACGGAGCTGTGCCTCTGGGCAGCCAGGCCCTTGCTGGGCTGAAGGTAAACTCACCCTGACTGCCCACCTGCCCCCGCAACAGGGATCTCAGCTGTGCAGAGACCCAGCCTCCTGATCCAGATCTGCACCCCAGGCCTAGATCTACACAACAGGCCCATATGTCCACTCCATGCTGATATCTCTACTCCTGGCCCATATCTCCCCGCCAGGCCCATATCTGCACTCCAGGCCCATATCTCCACTCCAAACCCATATCTCCCTTCCAGGCTCCTATCTCCACCCCAGGCCCATATCTCCACTCCAGACCTGTATCTCCACTCCAGGCTCATATCTCCACTCCAGGCCCATCCCTCCATGCCAGGCTCATATCTCCACTCGAGGCCCATATCTCCACTCCAGACCCATATCTCCTTTCCAGGCTCCTATCTCCACCCCAGTCCCATATCTCCAATCCAGGCCCATATCTCCACTCCAGGCTCATATCACAATTCCAGGTCCATGTCTCAATTGCAGGCCCATATCTCCACTCCAGTCTCATATCTCCACTGCAGGCCCGGAATCCTCTCCAGGCCCATATTTCTGCTGCAAACCAATATCTCCCCTCCAGGCTCATATCTCCCCTCCAGGCTCCTATCTCCACTCCAGGCCCCTATCTCCACCCCAGGCCCATATCTCCACTCCAGGCCCAGATCTCCACTCCAGGCTCATATCTCCATTCCAGGCCCAGATCTCCACTCCAGGATCATATCTCCACTCCAGGCCTGTATCTCCACTCTACACTCATATCTTCACTCCAGAATCCTATCTCTATTGCAGGTTCTTATCTCTACTCTAGGCCCAAATCTCCACTCCAGGCACATATCTCCACGCCAGGCCCAGATCTCCACCCCAGGCCCATGTCTCCACTCCAGGATCATATCTCCACCGCAGGCCCATATCTCCATTCCAGGTCCAGATCTCCACCCCAGGCCCATATCTCCACTCCAGGCCCGTGTCTCCACTCCAGGCCCAGATCTCCACTCCGGGCCCATATCTCCACTCCAGGCCCATGTCTCCACTCCAGGATCATATCTCCCCTCCAGGCCCAGATCTCCACCCCAGTGCTTCCTCCGTCGATTCCCTTCCGGGACTCACCAACACACGCCAGGCTGAGGACCATGAGCGACATGGTGCTGCCGGTGCAGACAGGCGGCCGCGCCCCAGCTCCGCTCAGCAGCGCACAGGATGTTATCTGGCGCCCTGCCCATGCAGTTGACGTGCTGACCACATCATGGGAGGGTGACGTACGCAGGCTCTTCCTACCTTGCATGAGGCGAAGCGGGCGCTCACTCAAGAGTGGAAAATGGCTTCCTGGAAATGGTTCTCACTAGAACTGACACCTTGTGTCCTTCACTATGACCAGCGGAAAACACGTCTCAGATCCAACTTCCCGGACACGAGGTGACTAAAATCTGTGCTGACGAAAAAGACTTTTCATGTATTTTTGTTGTTTTTATCTGTGTTTCAAACTCTTCTTCGTGTGTAATATGCAAAATATCTAATAGGTATTATGAACGTTGTCAGAGCAATTGTGATGAATAAACCATTAGGATGTTTCATGCTTGTATTTCTAGTATGACAGCAGAACCAGTTTAAATGATTTAAATACCCAGGGAAGGATTATGCCATTATTTACAATCTTAGAACTGTTCTTTATCAGGAAAACCCACAACATGTGAATTTTGAATTTTTGTCAGTTTATCTACAATTTTTCTCATGACCCGAGAGTCCAGAGTCCCAACTCATGGTTCACTCTCTCTGTCTCTCTGCCTCCCTCATTTTAAATTGTATGGAAATATCCAGTAACATAATGCTATAGAAAATCAAGTGTCCCCCAGCACTTTGGGAAGCCGAGGTGGGTGGTCAACAGAGGTCGGGAGTTCGAGACCACCCTGGCCAACTTAGTGAAACCATGTCTCTGCTAAACATACAAAAATTAGCTGTGCCTGGTGGTGGGCACCTGTCATGCCAGCTACTCAAGAGGCTGAGGCAGGAGAATCGCTTGAACCTGGGAGGCGGAAGTTGCAGTGAGCCGAGATTCTGCCACTGCAGTCCAGCCTGGGTGACAGAGCGAGACTCTGCCTGAAGAAATATAAAGAAAACGTAGCAAATAGCCTATAATAAGAAACTAGAGGACTCCAGCTACCAAATTGTAAGGGTTTGTAAAAGCCTACGGAATGTGCAGCATCCTCAAGAGAGTGAACAGAGAGAGCCCCTTATCGGAAAACAGTGTCTAAAATACATCCGTGTACACACAGTCCCGTTAGAGTTGACAAAGGCTGCCGTGTGGTTTAAGGAGGAATAGAATGTCTTCTCCATAGATAACATGGGCCCAAGGGTTACACATAGAAAAAAATAAATCTACACGTAGTCTCACACTATAAAACATTTCTTGTTTTTAATCTTGTTGTTGTAAATTTTTTATGATTTATATTTAAAATTGAGAAATAAAAGTGAGATACAATCGTCCTTCACTATTCGTGGGTGATTGATTTCAGGATCTCCGCTCAGATACCACAATTCGCAGATGCTCAAGCCTCTTACATAAAATGGCACAGCGTTTGCATATAACCCATGCTCATCCTCCTATATACATGAAATCATCTCTAGATTACTTATAATTCCTGACACAGCCTACACACCATTCCATTTGTGTCCATTCAACATAGTTTTGCTTTTTGAAATTTTGTGGATTTTTTCTCTGAATATTTTTGATTTATAGTTGGCTCAATAAACACCTGTAAACCCCACAGATCTGGAGGAGCGACTGTGTATTTATGGTATGAAAGATGATGTGTTGACATGTGTCCCTGTGGAGATGAGACTAACAAGGCCTATGACTCTACAAATGTTTCATCTTGGAATGGCTCTGCCAGCTTTCCAGGTCTGCAGAGAGTAAGAATATCACTTGTTCATCTCATTCACGATCCTTGCAACCTCCTATGCGCTGCATCGTTGGATGGAAATTGGAGTTCCAGACAGAAACCAGGCTCCATCTGCTTCCCGAAGCTCAGAGTCCAGGGGTGAGAAACCATTGGAGAACATATGGGGCTATATGGACATAGTAATGATAACACCAGAAACTTTCAGCGAATAAAGAGTCACATTACCTAAAGGATGAGGGTAGAGGTGTTTATTTGAAGAGGAGAGAGCTACGTTGAAATGATAAAAAAATTTATAAGTTTCACTGCTGCCAAGGGCTGAAAGATAATCTGAGGGGAGGTGGAACAGCATGATGGAAGATGGAACAACACGTGTCTAAGTGCTGTGTTAAGAGGGAGCCTCTTGTATGATTGGAATTGTGAGTTCCTCAGTGTGATCACAGCCTCCAGTAGGACTAGGAAGTAAGCCAGTAGGTTGGAGAGGTGGGCAGGGGTCAAGTGAAGTGGAGAATTGTGGGCTAAGCAAAGGAGTGTGTTTTCCCTGCAGGAGGCAGTGGGGACCTTAGACATTTGTAAGCGAGAGAGAGGCACGTTCAGATTCGTGGTGTGAGGAAGAGCGATGTCCTAAGATGCAGACTC